ACATATCAATATTACAACCATCAACAATCTTACAAAACTCTCCATCACCCATTGACACTACGACAATCCTACGTATGCGTTTAGAAAAAGTTAATCAGCAGTGCTTAATAAAAAAATCATCAAAATTATCAAAAAATAATGTGCCTATGTACGATTACCTGCGCCTACTAAGTGTAAGCCGATATATACAGTTATTATTGGAAGGGCGAGGTAAAATGAATGCCAGTTTTTTTGTTGCAAGAACAGTGTGGAATAAGGGTGACTATACAGCAAGGTGTATTCGAAAATAGAGAGATAGTTATATAGAATCGGGTGAACTTTTTTCTTACCATCAAGGAAAACATAAAAAAGTCATAGGTTTGCTTGAAAATGAAGTTTTCTTAAATGGATGTCAGGAATGGTTACAGCAGCAATCGCCAGAGTCCCGCTCTCCTAGGGCTCTAAAGATGCATATTGAAGAAGCGATATTACCAAAAATAGAAAATGCCAAAAATACCATCTCAGAAAAAATGTGTCGAATATATATGCATGCTTTGGGGTACAAGTATGATGAGAGAAAAAAAGGTGTGTATTATGATGGGCATGAGCGGCCCGATGTAGTGGCATATAGGAAAGGATGGTTAGAAAGAATGTTTAGGTACAAGATGTATATGAAAGACTTTGTTGGTGATATGCTAGAGATAGTAATAGAGCCCGAACTCGAATCTGATGAAAGAGAACTGGTACAAGTAATGCATGATGAATGTCACTTTTATGCAAATGACGGACAGCTTAAAATTTAGACCAGAAAAGATGAAGATGTTTTACGTCCAAAACACATGGGACGTTCCATAATGGTTTCAGCTTTTATGTGTCAATGTCATGGGGTTACTACACCTGTCCGAAGAGCAATTCCGGGCGAATCCACATGTTAAATACAAGGAAGCTTATGTTCTTCACTCTGTACAAGCAGATGGATATTGGAAGGCAGAGCACATGTTAAAACAGGTTTTTTTGTTTTCAATTTTTATTATTATTATTATTATTATTTTATTTTCTTATTATTTTTTATTTTTTTTTTTTTTAAATTTTTTTTATTTTATATTTTTTCTTTTTTGTTATTAATTTAATACAAACATTTAATAAAATTTATTACCTATAAATTAGCTTCTAGAAAGAGCAATTCCTATATTTGAGGTATTGCATCCGGGATGTGTGGGTGTCTTCTGCTTTGATCAATTGACAAACCATAATGCTATGGCAGAAGATGCACTGGTCACAACGAGAATGAACAAAGGTCCCGGAGGTGCACAACCTAAGATGCATAATAGTTGGTATGTTGATGAGTATGGGGAAAGACATGTTCAAGAAATGGTGTTCTCAGACAATTATCCCGTGCTTGAGTTAAGAGGGAAGCCAAAAGGAATACAACAAGTACTTGAAGAACGTAACCTTTGGCCAGTCGGAGGTGTAAATTTGGTGTGTGATCAGTGTTCCAGGAAAAGTGACGATGATTTTGAAGAATTGAATTGCTGTGCACGGTGAATCATTTCATTACAGCCGGATTTCTGTGAACAGCAATCAATTTTGGAAGAGGCGCTTATTAAGGCAGGGCATATTTTTGAACGATACCCAAAATTCTACTGTGAATGCAATTTTATTGAACGATACTGGGGTTTCTTAAAACGGGAACTTAGGGCATCATGCAGCTATAACTATAATGACTTACTAAGACGAATTCCAGAAGTCCTCAACAGCGTCCCAACGTCAACTATTCGAAAGTTTGCCCGCAAATCGTGAAGGTATATGGATGTTTATTATAAAGGGTTAGAAGGTAGGGCGGCTGAATGGGCTGTCACTAAGTATAAATCACATTATCGCTTGCCTGAAAATATAGAGAGAATAATGTAACAATCACAGGTTAAACATAAAAACAATTATATATTGCTGTTCTTACTGGGGTTTTTCTATCAATTTTGCACCATCTAACTGGTATGCTCTCTCAGGTGTAACACTCTGACCATACATAAAAAAAAAGCATTTAAAAAAAGTATTGTTAAATCGGATCTAATTGCAAAAAAAAAAAAAAAAAAAAAAAAAATTTTACAAATAGATGCCATCACAATACGATCATACTTCCCATTTATTTCTTCGGATCTCTTCAGTATATGTGTCCCTACTTTAAAACCAATGGATTAATAAGATATGTTAACGGGGTTACCTATACTAAAATAGATCTATTCCTTCATATATCCCGTAAGCCTTCGTTAATCTGGTCTAACTAAAAACGATTTTTAAATTAGGTATGTTACTCCTACCACACATCACTTGGCTGCTTCAATATTAGATCAAGTCCCAGTAGCATCTCAGTAGCGATTTTTAATCGCATTCTTTACAAATTTGACTGCTGGACCGCAAGTATAAGGCTATCGCTTTTCACACATTTATAAGAGAAATTGATAATTGATCAATAATTTGATTGGTCAAATTTATATATAATCACGTGAAAATTGATCGCCAAAAATTGAAATATTTCACGTGATTGTCGGGTATAGATTTCCTGCACCATAGACATTTTACAATTTCTTGCTTGATGTCCTTGCTTGTGACATTTCTAGCATTTATTCTTTGGGCAGTTCCTATTTGAGTAGCCTGGTTTATTACAAATTCCACAAATAAATTTCACTGGTGATTTATTTTTGCAGAATTCTAGGTTTCCTGGTTGTTCGGAAGGTTCAATTCTTCTAAATCATTTTTGAAAAGAGTTGATTCTTGGTGCAGAAAATTTGTTTCTACAATTATGATTTTCATTAGTCAATGCTCTACATTTATTGCATCTTTTAGTAATATTTTCTTTCCAATTGACTTTCTTAGCAAAGTTTTTATATTTCTGTTTAGTGTTTTTGAGGTCATGGAGCCTCTTTTATTCCTTTCTTCTGGAAAGACATTCTTCTTTATGAGCTTGGATATTTCTGGTAATGATTTGTGTGCACCAGGCACATTGATTATGTGGTTCTTCTTCTACTTCAAAGTAGAATAAATCATTTTCTTCTCTTTCAAAGGTGTTATTGGTGATATTTATTCTTTTAAATTCTTAGTTAGTGACTGTGATAGCTTCTTCGATTGTCTTGATTGTTTTGACAAAATCCCTAGCTTCTTCTTCTTTTGTTTGTTAGACTAGGACCTTATGTCTTTCTTCAATGTGATCATCCTATTTTTTAGGATTAACTTCTTCTTGACATTTTTCACAGTAGTTGCCATTTTTGTAACTTGCAGAGTAAAAGTATTCGTATTGAGACATTGTTTTGATTATAGATTTAGGGTGTAGTTGGGTTTATCTAATATATTTTGAATGATCCCCTTTGTAGTTTAAAGGTTTCTTTTATAGATATTTCTTATCTTGGATCTTTATTAAAGGTTCAATGAAGTTATCTCATCTTTATTGTCTAAGTAATTTGTATTACTGATTGATTGTAGATCATCTATATAATTGGTATCACATAAACATTCTAGTAACGCATCCCAAATATTTATTTGTTTATTTTGGCATGTCTAGATAAACTCATTTAAGTGTAGTTGCAAGTTTTTCTTATCTCTACTTCTTGGCAGTATCGTGTCTTTCAACACGTGCCATGTTGCTTCAATACTATTGGTGTGCATAACTTTAATTTGCTCTGTTATGGGGTCAAAGTCTGTTTTGGATATACCTTTGCTGTGATTGATAGCATGGTGTTGCATTCCAAGTTTCTCATAAATATTATAATAGCCTTTCTACATGTCTGAGTAGATTACTGATTGTGGATAGACATATTTTTAAATATAGTATATCAACCTATCTTGTGTCCTGACCTTAACTATTATTACGAATAACTTTTTGTCAGATGTTCTTTCTACTCCTCCGCATACCTATATTGTTGTTCTATCCTTTTGTTTGTAGAACCATGACTCATCTATTTCTACAATGATATCGGGTTCTCCGATTCTTTCATGTGTTTCCTTTATTTGGTGATACATGCTTTGGTGTAATGTTTTTATCCATCGCGTTATCGTTGTTTCAGAGTGATTAGTAAAATCATGTATGGTGTTGTGCCTTGCTTTGATTAATCATAAATAGACAATTTCTAATATCTCATTGCAAGATAATCAGGCGTTTATAAATATTGTTCTGTTAAATACAAATATCTGCTTTTAGCAGTTACGTTTGTTGCACTTAAACTTTTTGGCATCAAGTTTCATTTCTTGACCACATGATAAACAATTGATTTCTTTTAGTAAAATTAATTTCTGTTGTAAATATTGTATTCACTTTTCTTCATTGTCAAAGTTTTTGTAAAGCGGTACTTTCATTACGAGTTTCTAGACTATTTATTTTTGAAAATTTTATAAGTTGTTGATCTGTGAAAATATGGTTATACTCTCCAGATTTTATCAATTTTTCTTATCTTGTACTCCTATTTATAATATTATAACTTGTTCTCCATTTTCATCTAGTCCCATATGTCATAATAAATAGTCTGCAACTTTGTTGTCTGTGTCTTTAATTCGTTCCACTTTCCAATTAAAGTCTTGCAGTTGTATTAATCATTTTTGTATAGTATCGTTTCTGACCATTTTCCCAGATGTATCAGATATTCCAGTATTATCTGTTCATACTATCACTGATTTATTTCCAATATAGAGTCTCCAGTTTAGTAAGTAATTGTATATCACATACATTTCTTTCATGGTCAAACCCCATTTTCTTTGTGTTGGTGTCAAGGATTTGGATCTGAATTCTATAATTTCTTCTTCAGATTTAGTTGGTTCATACTCTGTGCCCTTTTTCTTTCTTGCTTAGTTTTGTAATACACCAATTCTGGGTTTACTTGTTTCAAAACTGCACCTATTCCATTATCAGATGCATCAGTTTCTATTATAAATTAGTGTCCTTTCTTTGGATATGTTAATGCTATCGCATTTTTAACCTTTTCTTTCAATATATTAAATGCTTTCTAGCATTCTTCTATCCATTCAAACTTTGCATTTTTCTTTAATAAATTATAAATTGGTTCTACAATTAGTGCAAAATTTTGAATATATCTTCTAAATTAGTTTATAAATTCTGTAAATGATCGTATACCATATACATCTGTTGGTTTTTTTAATTTTTCTACTTCTTAATTTTAACTTGATTAGGGTGTATTTTTTTATATTCTACTAAGTGGTTTAATAAAGTGTTTTTAATACAAAAAATTCACATTTATCAGGTTTCAAACTCATGCCCACTTTTTTGATGCTTTCAAATACCATTTTGAGATGTTGAAAGTGTTCTTCAGATGAATTACTACCAATTGTTATATCATCCATATATATATATGCAAAGGGTAAGTCTCTAAAAATTTCATACATATACCTCATCATATATGCTGGTGCTGTTTTTAATTCTATTGGGAGCATGTTCCACTCAAATTTCTCTTTTCCTGGGAAGAATACTATTGTTAAATATTTGTCTACTTCCCTTAGTTTGAATTGGTGATATGCGGCTGTGAAGTTCAATGCTGAAAATATCTTGTGTCTAGCTAGTTTCTGTAACATCGTGTTAATATGTGATATTTTGTATAGATCATTTTCTAGGTTTTGGTTAAGTTTTGTATAATCTACTATGACTCTATAAGATCCATCTTTCTTTTGTATAATGACTAACGGTGATATCCATACAGCTTTTGATTGTCCAATAAATTCTTGTTTTCTTAGTTCTTTAAATAATTTATTTGCTTGCTCTATTTTATCTTCTGAGTATTGTCTTGGCATTCTTGCCTTGTCTTGGAAAGGTATTTCTTTTTTATCACATTTTAACTTTAATGTTATAGGTTCAAAAAAGTCTTCATTAAACATTGTTGCTTTTTCATGTTTTCTGTGGAATATGTTTATATACTCTCTAAATAATGGTATCATTTTATTTCTATATTCTGCGGTTGTATTTTTTAATAAAATATCAAGTCATTCTTTCTCAGTTTTCTCTTTTTTTTCGACTTGCATTTCCTATCATTTATCTTTTTCTTTAGGTAATATTTCTGTGGCATTAATTTCTATTACCTTTGTGACTTTTCAAGGTTGCCAATATGATAATTTTTCGGTATTAGTATAGATTTTTCATATAGTTAATCATTCTTAATTTGGCATCATTAATTATGCCATTTTGCACTACAATGCTATTTTGGGCTAAATGCATTGGCGTTTGTATTAGATAATTTCCTTTTTGAGATATTTTAATTGCAGTCTATGTATATGGTCATAGTATATATTTTTGTTTACTATAACACAGTATTCCAGATCCTAATGTAGGTATAATATGTCTTCGTATTTCATTTGATATATGTGCCAAATCTTTATATACTTGGTTAAAACTGCTTTTATTTAGTACTTTAGGTTGATATTGTGATAGTTCAATATTAAATATTTCTTTTTCTAAATATAGTGATTCCTCACTATCATTATGCGATGTTGACACATATCCATATAGATTATTTTTTGGTGGTGGTGGCATTTTGGGTCTTTGTTCTACCAGTCTTATTTTTGGTGTATCATTTTCAATTCCTATACTAGTTCCTCTAGTTTTATATACTTATACTTTTACTAGTTCTGGGTATTGATTTCGAAGGTATTCATCTTGCTGTTGATATAAATTATCTACATTACTTCACATATTTAATGCAGTTGGTTTATTCTGCCTAGTATTCTGTGATATCTTTCTTTGCCTAAAGAATAGTATATTTTGTTGATCTTTAGGGATATTTGTGATTGCTTGGTCTTTTACATCATTATATCATAAATCTGGTTCTTGTCTTTTAGTTCCAAATATATTTATTTTATTTGTTGTTGATATATAAGCAGATGCTTTATTTCAAACTGTATTCCACATGCTTTGTTTCTGCTCAGCTTGCCCCTGTTCAGTATTTAGCTGTTGCAGTTGCGCTTGGAGTATTTGTTCATGTATTTGTTCTTGTTGTTTACTTGTATTTGAATCTTCATTGTTTAAATATATACTTGGTATATTACTCGTAGATGCATGTGAGCTCAACTGTATATATACTGGTTGTTTCTGTTTACTCTTATTAGTTTCTTCATGCATATTTTGGTAATAAATATCTTCTAATTCATTACTTTTGTCACTATCAGCATCAGTTCTAAATTCTGGTTTCTTTATATCTATTCTTTGGTGAATTTCATCTATTCTTTCAGTAGATAATGTTTCAAATTCCATTATAGGTTCTCCTGTTAGAGTATCCTTTATTGTTTGTTTCTTTAATATTTCAGGGTTCTCTTGTCTAACCTATTCTGTTAAGAATTGTTGATGTTTTTGTTTAGCTCTGTTCCTATTTTGTTTATT